TTTATTTTTAAAAACAGTAATGAATCAGCGCCAACTGTCACTTGTATTGTTTTATTTATTAACCTGAAAGGGTCAATTTAGTGGATACTCTGATGTCAAAGATCCATGCTCCTACTATTTTACTATTTTTGTCTTTTATTTCTTTTCCCTGTAAATTTTGGTGTGATACTCTGATGTCAAAGATACATGTTTATGTAAGTTATGCTTTTATGAAATTTCTGTCTTGTTCGACTTTGATTTTTATTAATTAGTTTTTTTTTTTTTGTAAATATTATTAATTAGTTTTTGTCTTGTATCGTTATTGAGTTTTATTAATCACATGTTAAAACAGATAAACTAAACCCTCAAGGGTAGCTCAGTTGGCAGCTGAGCTCCCAAGGGATTGCTTGGTGCAGGGATCAAACCCTGCCTCAAGCAGTTTCTTGAAAAATCTTTGGGGGTCAGAGGATAAGCCAAAAATCTTCGGTTGGGGGATTAGTCTCGTCCTTTCTCTGGTTGCGAAGTTTAGTGCACCCACTGTTACCCTGAGGGCATGGTTTGAAAAAATAAAATAAAAGCACAATTATCAAAAAATGTAAAAAAAAAAAATTATTTAATCTAATATGAGAATAACTTTTTCCATCATTATTTCATAGGAATATTATTGAAAATTTTGACTTTGATTGCAGGTGTGACCTTTTAGCAGTTCTGATCAAATTGATGTTTGCAACTTTTACAAAATTGTACGACGTCGTTGTAGTTACCAACCAAATTAATGTTTGTAGAGGATAAGCCAAAAATCTTCGGTTGGGGGATTAGTCTCGTCCTTTCTCTGGTTGCGAAGTTTAGTGCACCCACTGTTACCCTGAGGGCATGGTTTGAAAAAATAAAATAAAAGCACAATTATCAAAAAAATGTAAAAAAAAAAATTATTTAATCTAATATGAGAATAACTTTTTCCATCATTATTTCATAGGAATATTATTGAAAATTTTGACTTTGATTGCAGGTGTGACCTTTTAGCAGTTCTGATCAAATTGATGTTTGCAACTTTTACAAAATTGTACGACGTCGTTGTAGTTACCAACCAAATTAATGTTTGTAGAGGATAAGCCAAAAATCTTCGGTTGGGGGATTAGTCTCGTCCTTTCTCCGGTTGCGAAGTTTAGTGCACCCACTGTTACCCTGAGGGCATGGTTTGAAAAAATAAAATAAAAGCACAATTATCAAAAAATGTAAAAAAAAAAAATTTATTTAATCTAATATGAGAATAACTTTTTCCATCATTATTTCATAGGAATATTATTGAAAATTTTGACTTTGATTGCAGGTGTGACCTTTTAGCAGTTCTGATCAAATTGATGTTTGCAACTTTTACAAAATTGTACGACGTCGCTGTAGTTACCAACCAAACTAATGTTTGTTGGTCATTTATTTTTTTTTCTTTTTAAAAATCTTTCCTATGATGTGATTTTTTTAACATGAATGATCTGTCTTAATAAAACATTAATCTGTCCTTTGGCACGCCCAAGTGGAGAAGCTCATCTTTGCTATTCGTATGATTATAAATAGAGCCCTTTTTTAATCTCAAATAAGCACCTCTCTCTTTGAAAAGTGTCTCATTATAGAACTACGTTGTACGCCGATGGCTCCGAGTCTCAACTTTGACAGAGAACCAAACCAGGTTTTTCTTTTCTTCCCATAAACCTTAGCTTGCTTTTTATGACCTCGTAAGTTTTACTAAACAAGACGATAATTTAGATAATTCATAATCAATCATTGCTCAAAATAGATGCCAACCATTATTGTTTTATGCACTCTGAATTGTTGAATGCCTATCGATAGTTGAGGGATAATTTTATCCCTATTTTTTAAATTTTTTTTATTGTTTTATCCTGCTTTCTATTGTGCTTTTCCTTCTTCAATGCTAGACAAGGTCCAATGTTATTTTTGTGGGGCTCAAGAGAACATAGTTCCCACTTTTGACGGGGCTCAAGAATCTTGGGGCCCAAGAAACTATAGTTCCAACTTTTGATATTCTAGAATTTTTCCTCCTCTTATATATAAGTTTAAGGTATGTGAGAATTTAGGGTTAGACAAAATTTGAGAGACACCTTGAGAGAAAAAGCTTATAGCTATGTATTTGAGAGCACTTCTAGAGACAAGTTTGAGCGAGGAATCTCTAGGGAAGTTTTAATATCATCATTGTAGGTGAGGTTTGAGTGTATCACCATTATTAGTGAAGTTTGATATTTTGTACCCATTATTTTCATAGTAAAAGTTTGATTCTGGACTAATATTTTGTGAGTTTTTTCTTTTTCACATTGAGGAAGATTTTCCCACGTTAAAAGATTATTGTGTTCTTTTCTGTCTCTCTCCTCTTCATTTTATTGTTTCCTCTACGCTGGTCGAACTAGTGACATAGGCCGACCTCAGACTGTGATTGTCGAGCTCCGAAATCAACTTTTGACTTGTGACACGCTTCTGTGCCGAGATGACGGAACCGAGTTCCCAACAGTGGCATCAGGACTCGAGTTCATGGGTTTTGAGGAGATGAGATGGAGACTAGTGGCGTAGCCCATGATGGCGACATGTTCAAGCTGACCGTGGACAACTTTACTTACTGGAGATCGATGATGGAAGACCATCTGTACAGCAAGGACAAGAATGAGCCCATAATTCATTAAGAGATTCCTGAAGACAAAACCGAGAAGGAGTGGGAAATCCTGAATTGAAAGGTGGTTGCCATGATCAGGAAATACATCGACAAAAGCCTCTTTGAACATCTATCAGAGTTCTCAAATGCGTACGAGTTATGGACGAAGTTGGAGACCATGATTCAGAAGAAGACTCCTAGGAACAAAGCACATCTGGTTCACCGACTTGTGAAACTAGAGTACAAGGACGATATGAGCATGATTAAATCACCTCAACACCTACAAAAGTATTGTGAATCAGATGTCTAAAATCGAGATGATGATAGATAATGAGATGCAAGCATTGCTACTACTGAGCTAGCTACCATAAAATTATGATACTCTTGTAGTTACATTGAGTAACTTGGCTCCAGATGTAAAATTGACAATGGATGTCATAACTGACAGTCTCCTGAATGAAGAAGCCAAGAGAAGAGAACAAGATATATCTAGCACATCCGAAGCAAACATGGCTGAGAATCGAGGTAAGTCCGACTCCCGAGGTCATAGTAAGAGCCGGGGTCATGACGATCGAGACAAGTCTAGAAGCCGATCAAGACCGAGATACGAGTTAAAGTTCTTCTACTGTGGGAAGCCTGGCCACAAGAAGCCAGACTACAACATTCTGCAGAAAGATGAAAAGAACGGCTCGGTGAAGCCGGATCAAATCATTCCAAAGAAGAAAGAAGACAAGAGCAGCACTGCAGTGGTTGCTAATGCTAATGTCAAGAATATTTCTACTTGGTGAAGACAATTTTTTGAATGTTGCATATGATGACTGCACTTGGATTGTTGACTCTGGTGCGTCCTTTCACTTCACTCCATACAAAGGTTTTTTCTCCTCTTACAGAGGTAGTGATTTTGGAGTCGTGAAGATGGAAAATCAGGTGATGAGTAAAATTAGTGGTTACGGTGATGTAACACTGACCACAGATGTTGGGTGCCAACTTGTACTGAAGGATGTACGGCATATGCCTAACATGCGATTAAACCTAACCTCAGTTGGCAAGCTTGATGATGTCGGGTTGGTGAACTACTTCAGAAGTGGTAGATGAAAATTAGCCAAGGGAAATTTGGTGGTTGCCTGAGATAATAAAGAAGGTTCCTTGTACGTGATTCAAGGAAAGATAAATGGTGGAGAAGCAACTTTTCCCGAGATGGACCTAGCATGGAGTTGTGGCACAAACATCTCGGCCACATGAGCGAGAAAGGGCTCTGAATAAGAAAGGACTTCTAATCGGGTTGAAAGGCCAGCTGCTAAAAATTTGCACGCACTGCCTAGCTGGTAAGCAGCATTGGATTTCTTTCGTGAGACCGGATCAACCCAGACGATGCAAGTATGTTCTTGACCTCGTCCATACCGATGTATACTCCATGTCGGAGAGATCCCTTGGTGGAACTCAGTATTTTATTTCTTTTTTGATGACTATTCCAGCAAAATATGGGTGTATTTGTTGAAATCTAAAGACTAGGTACTCCAAGCCTTCAAAGAATTTCATGCTATAGCGGAAGAGAGATTGACAAGAAGCTAAAAGTGGTCCGATCTGACAATGATGGTGAGTATTGCGTCCCTTGATGTATACTGTAGAGTGGTCGAGATCCAACTTGAGAAGACGCCCCCAAGACTCCTCAACTGAATGGATTTACTGAAAGGATGAATAAGACTATTGAATAAAGGTTCGAAGTATGTTATCCCAGGCTGAGTTGCCGAAATCATTATGGGGTGAAGCAATCAGAACTGCTGTTGACTTGACAAACCTCTCACCATCACGACATCTTGAAGGAGAAAGTCTTAAAGAAGTCTGGACAGGTCAGAAAGCGGCCTATGATCACTTAAGATTGTTCGGATGCCGAGCTTTCGTGCATATTCCTATAGATGAAAAAGCGAACCTTGATGTGAAGACTAAAGAATGAATTTACCGCGGTCTGTCGAGATGTGAGTTCGAATTCTGACTTTGGGATCCAATCATCAAGAAGATAGTGAGAAGCTGAGATATGATCTTTAATGAGAATGAAACCATTCAAGACATCTCGAAGTCCAAAGTCCGGGTTGTTGTCCGACGTGAAGAAGTCGTCCCTCTTATTTGAGCTGATGCAATGGGAGAAACAAATGATGAAAATGATGTGAATGACCAACAAGACCAAGATGCTGAGGACCGATTTGATGAGGTCCGAGATAATGATATCTGAGATGATGAGCCAAAATCTCAAAATAAAGTTCATAACAGACACTCTACTAGAGAGAAACAACCTTCGACAAGATACCTACCTGAAGAGTATATTGTTGTTGATGAAGAGGGGGAACCTCAAAGTTATAATTAGGCCATGACGAGCTCAGACAAAGAAAAATGGGAGAAGGCAATGCAGGACGAGATGAAATCCTTGCATGAAAATCAAACGTATGAACTGACTGAGTTGCCCCAAGGAAAACGAGCTCTAAAGAACAAGTGGGTTTACAAAATTAAGCATAAGGATTATGGCCAGAAGCAAAGATACAAAGTCCGGATTATGGTGAAAGGCTGCAATAAGAAGAAAGTAGTTGATTTTGAAGAAATCTTCTATCCTGTTGTAAAGATGACTGCGGTCCGAACCGCGTTAGCCATGACGGCTTCACTGGACCTCAAAGTGGAGCAAATGAATGTGAAGACGACATTCCTTCATAGCAACCTTGATGAAGAGATTTATATAAAGCAACCAGAAGGGTTCCGAGCTCCAGGATGCAAAGACTTAGTCTGCCATTTAAGGAATAACATATATAGCTTGAAGCAAGCACCTCAGTAAGGGTACAAGAAATTTGAATCGTTTATGACTGAGCACAAGTTTTTGAAGACTAAAGATGACCACTGCGTATTTGTGAAGAGATATGAAGTTGGAGACTTCTTGATTTTACTCTTATATGTTGATGACATGCTGATTTTAGGGCAAGACAATATGAAGATAGCAGCCGTGAAGAAGGCGTTAAGCTCGTCCTTTGCAATGAAAGACCTCAGCCCTGCAAAGCAGATTTTCAGAATCAAGATCATCCGAGATCAACTTAAAAGGCTACTGTGACTGAGTCAAGAAAAATACATATAGAAGATTTTGAAGAGATTTAGCATAGACAAAGCTAAAACAGTGAGCACCCCCTTAGATGGACACATTAAGCTAAATCAAAAGTAGTGCCCCAGATCTGATGAAGAGAAAGACGAGATGCTGAAGATCCCATACCAATCCACCGTCGGAAGCTTGATGTATGTAATGGTATATACGAGACCCGACCTGGTGTATGCTATTGGAATGGTAAGTCAGTATCTGTCAAACCCCGACAAAGAGCACTGGGAAGCTGTCAAATGGATTTTCAAGTATATCAAAACAACAACAAATTTATGCCATCGCTTTGGAGAAGGTAAGGCCGAGTTACAAGGCTTTACGGATGCTGATTTAGGGGGCGATGCTGACTCGAGAAAGTCGATGACAGGATATCTAATGACTTTTGCAGGAGAAGTTATCTACTGGCATCTAAATTGCAAAAATGTGTGGCACTTTCGACAACCAAGGCCGAGTATATAGCCGCGACTGAGGCTTGCAAAGAAATGATGTGGATGAAGAAGTTTCTCTCTAAACTCGACCATGAACAAGACAAGTATGAGCTGAAGTGTGACAACCAAAGTGTTATTCATCTAGCTAAGAACTCGACCTATCACTTTTGCTTAAAATATATTGATGTGAGGTATAACTGGATCGGGGATGTGGTGGAAGATGGACAACTCAAACTCGTCAAAGTGCACACCGATCTGAATTGGTCCGACATGATGACTAAGCTGGTACAAGTAAGGAAATTTGAAGACTGCTGTGAAAGTGTTGGACTACTGTTGAAGCCAACACATTGAAGTCGGAAGAGGGAGATTTGTTGGGCTTTTCCTCCTTCAATGTTGAACAAGGCCCAATGTTACTTTTGTGGGGATCAAGAGACTTGGGGCGCAAGAAATCATAGTTCCCACTTAGGATATTCTAGAATTTTCCCTCCTCTTATATATAAGCTTGAGGTATGTGAGAGTTTAGGGTTAGACAAAATTTGAGAGACACCTTGAAACAAAAAGCTTATAGCTTTGTATTTTAGAGCACCTCTAGGAAAATTTGAATACCACCATTATAGTGAGGTTTAAGTATATCACCATTATTAGTGAAGTTTGATTCTGGACTAGTGTCCTATGATTTTTTACTTCTTCACATTGAGGAAGGTTTTCCCACATTAAAAGATTATTGTGTTTTTCTCTATTTCTCTCCTTTTGCATTTTTATTGTTTCAGCTATGCTGGCTGACCTAGTCACACAGACCGACCTCAGATTGTGATTGCCGAGCTCCGAGCTCAACGTTTGACTTGTGACACGCTTCTGTGCCAAGTTGATAACCGAGTTTCAAACACTTTCAAAATTATATACTAACATATATATATATATATATATATATATATATATATATATATATATCCATTTGCTCAAATTATATATTAATTAGTTCTTGTTTGATCAGAGTTTGACTGACACTATCTCGAATAAATAACTTATGCAAGACTAGAGTTTGGTCAAACTTTGATTAAACAAAGGTAAATAAATATATAATTTGAGAAGAGGCAGAGATTGATATATAATTTGAGAAATTAATGACCTACTTCGGGAAAAAAAATTGTGCCTTGTAATGAAGGAAGAATTGTGGATGTGGAAGGTAGGATTGAGCCAATGTGTCGAGCAACATTCCTGTAACACCCTGTGTATACCCGGTTTGTTATCATATCATCATATTAAGCTGCGCTTAATAAAAAAATGCGGAATAAACTTTTTCTTTTCAATTATGATGTCATTAATATCACCAAGTTGATTACTTAATCCTTTTCATAAAACATTGCCTGTATGTAATTGCAAATGAACAACTATCTACATTGAATAACCTCATAATATAAATATGTGAGTATCTAAGACACGGAACTACAACACGTAGTCCGGACCATAATCCTGATACATTAATACAACTCGAATCTAATATAAGACATAGTCAATCAATGTGGCATGGACAACCCCCATGCTCACCAAATAAGGCAACAAGCCTAACAGAATCTCAAATTAAATAACATAATAACATATAAATAACATGTCAGCATCCAACATATCACCATAACAACAGATATCTAACTCAGCTACGGCCTCCTGCCGCCTGAGGTCTCAACCCCTGAGTTACCTGAACCTGATATATGTGCCCCAAACGTGGGGTGAGATCTCTAAACAGAAATCTCAGTAAGGCAAGGGGTCCTCAAGGATCTCTCCAGCCCAAGCTTACTTACATGTGAAATATAAGTTCTAAAAGCAATATACAATATCAGTTCCAAAATCAGTGCAATGCAACAGATAATCTTGTCATGTGTGTCAACTATTCTATTGGCCGGAGAAATGCAAGATTTACATACGTCTATTACCTACATCAGTGCAAGACGCCACTTGCACCCACCCAAAGAATCACCGTATTGAATGACGCCACACACTTAGGCTTACCGTCTAAATGGAACAACACATGCATATTATAAGGCCCTTGCACTTAATAGCTCAAAAGCATTTCAATCATCAAAATATGAAAACGCATCATGCATAAAACCATTCCTCCCTGGGGTATGGTAGAACCAACAATGGCTAAACCGAGGACACGAAAGCTTACCTCGCAAGCTAACTATCCAAGCCAAGCCCGCAGTAACTCAATGCCCACAAACAGCACAATCACAATCTGTTCATACAATAATTAATCATCAATAATCATTGCCCAAGGTTCCATTAAGTGATTAAGACTTTCCAACTCATTTTAAGTCATTTTATGCAAAATCTGCAGGAGGTATTCGAATACTCCTCGATGAGTATTCGAATACTTCAAGTCTCCATAAAGTATTCAACTACTTTCACTTAAGTATTCGAATACCACAAGGTATCCAAATACTTTCCCAACAGTATTCGAATACTACTCAGTATTCGAATACTACACTATGGTATTCGAATACTTTTCTTCCCAGAAAAGTATCCCAATACTCCTTCAAGGAGTATTCGACTACCAAGGGATAAGTATTTGAATACTACACGAAAAGTATTCGAATACCTATCAGACAGAATGCAGAAACTCGAGTTGTTCAGTGCATAATTCCATTTTTAAGTGATCAAATGCGATTGAGAGTCCAATAACATCCTAAACAGATATTCATTAACATATTATAGACTCAGAAACTCAGTCCTTAACTCAAATGATCCAAGTTTTACTTTTTAATGGATTAAACAAGCTTAAATCATGAAAATAACAACGAGGTGGTCATTGTATACCTCAGGTGCTCAAAACTCCGAAAATAAGACACACTAGGGGTCCTCTACACAGCACCACAACACTGACTTTGCAAAGATGCGAATTTGACCACCAAGCTTGGCCCTTTATGCTATAAGGTGGCTTCTTTAAGCCTTATATGCCATGACAATGGCTTCACCCAACAAAACTCAAGTGTACAGCCCCAAAGTCAGCAACTTCACCTCACCACGGAGGCTACAATCTCAGAGATGAGACACTCCACACCCTCACAAGACTAATTCTCACAAGCTATATAGTGTTTTGGTGAAGAGAAGAGGAAGAAAAATGGTTTCTTTGGTGAGTTTTTCAAAAGAGGGAGCAATGGAACAGTGGAGGCTCAAGGCTGATGGAGAAGACTCAGAAAACTCACATAGCAAATGGCACAAAATCATCCTAGGGTTTAGTGCCAACCCTTATATAGCCTACTTAAGTATTAATCGTATTGTATTAGCGCTAATATCTACGCTTAGCATTTTAATCCCAAACTTGAGATTCTGAACCTAGCCATTTTCTAGGATTTGTCATATTTTTATTTTATTTTTCGCAGTACTTTTTTGGTACGCGCTTTTAAGAAGCCGGTATCAGTTCTGACACCAGTTCTCATTATTTTGACCTGAAACTTGTTATGCTAGGCCTATATATTATTCTACGAATATTCCCACACTTATTATAATTTTTCGGGATACTTCACCGGTACACATTTATACCGAGGAGCAGAACCGATATATGCATTTTTCGTCAGAAAAATGACTTTCAGCATTATTAATCACTTTCCATAATTATTTAAGCCTTCTCATAATTATTAGGGTCAATTATGGAATGATCTCATAAATCTCATAATTAATTAATTAAATTCCTAATTTAGCAGTGCGGGTCCTTACATTCACCCCACCTTTTAAAGAATTTTGTCCTCAAAATCAGAAACATACATGTCTCGAAAGTCAGGGTAGTGCCGGAGAAGCTCATCCTCTCGCTCCCAGGTACACTCCTCAGGAGTTCTTCCTATCCACTGCACTTTGACCACCGAAATGATCTTGCTCCTCAGCTTCTTCTCGCCACGATCGAGAATCTTGAGTGGTCCAACGGGAGTTTTCAAGTTCTCCCGAACTTCCACATCATCTGGTTGTACCACGTGCGAAGGATCTGCTATATATCTCCGAAGCTGAGACACGTGAAACACATCGTGGATGTTGGCCAAGTTCGGAGGCAAGGCGAGCCGGTAAGGCAACAGGTCCTACTCTACTAAGTATCTGGTATGGCCCAATGAATCACAGGCTAAGCTTCCTTAATCCGAGGGCCCGACCAACATCAGTGACAGGTGATAGTCTCACAAACACGTGCTCACCTTCACTGAACTCTAGTGGACGATGCTTAACATCATAGTAGCTCTTCTGGCGATTCTGCGCCTGCTTCAGCTTCTCTCTGATCAACTGGATCTGCTGGGTAGTATCTTGGACAAAGTCCAAGCCAAATAACTCTTTATCTCCAACCTCAAACCAACAAGTATGAGTCCGACACCTCCTACCATACAACGCCTCGTAGGATGCTATGCCCAGGCTAGCATGGAAACTATTGTTGTACGAAAACTCAACCAATGGCAGGTAACTATCCCATGCTGAACCCTGCTCCAAAGTGCAAGCCCTCAACATGTCCTCCGATGTTTGGATGGTCCGCTCAGTCTGAGGGTGATAGGTTGTACTCAATCTCAACTGAGTACCAAAAGCTCCCTGCAGCGCCTCCCTGAACCGAGATGTGAACTTCGGGTCCCTATCACTGATAATACTCTCGGGCACCCCGTGAAGCCTCACGATCTCGTGAACATACAGTGTGGCCAACTGCTCAGTAGTGAAGCTCACCTTCACCAGAAGAAAGTGGGCATACTTCGTCCATCTGTCCACAATGACCCAGATAGAGTCACAACCAGCCTGAGTCTTTGGCAATCCCACTACTCTCCCATTTCCATTCCGGAATTTCAAGAAGTTGAAGTTTACCAGACGGCTTTTGGTGTTCTATCTTCACCTTCTGGCAAATCAAACATTTGGACACATAGACCGCTATGTCTTTCTTCATGCGCGGCCACCAGTAATTTCTCTTCAAGTCCTGATACATCTTTGTAGCACCAGGGTGGACAGTAAACTGGCCCTTATGAGCCTCTGTCATCACCACCTCAGTCAAAGGACCTCGAGGAACCACAAACCTCTTTTGGAAGGTCAACAATCTGTCCTCATTCCAAGACACACCGTCCTGGTTCTTCACATAGTCAAGGCACTCTCTTTGCACCTGCGCCTCTTTAATCTTTTCCATGAGCTCATTTTCAACTTGCACGGTTTCCATTTCGAAAAGTGCACCCCCAAACAAAGAGGTCACCATTAGATCTCGAAACTGCTCAATAATATAATAGTCACCCATAGTCAAATTGGATAGACTCACGGATTTCCAACTCAAAGCATCAACTACCACATTGGCCTTGCCAGGATGGTACTTCAACTCAAACTCGTAGTCCTTCATATACTCCATCCATCTCCTCTTCTCATGTTCAGCTCCTTCTTATCAAACAGATACATCAGGCTCTTGTGATCACTGAACACTGCAAACTTCATACCAAAGAGATGATGCCTCCAAATCTTGAAAGCAAACACAATAGAAGCAAACTCCAAATCATGAGTCGGGTAGTTCTCCTCATAATGCTTCAACTGCCTCGAAGCATAGGCAATCACTTTGGCCAACTGCATCAACACACAACCCAGCCCCTTTTCGGAGGCGTCAGTGTAAACCTCAACTTCCTCCGCAGGATCAGGAAGGACCAACGCAGGAGCAGTCGCCAGTCTCTCCTTCAACTCCTGGAAACACTGCTCACACTCGTAAGTCCACACCAATGGAGTCTCCTTCCGAGTAAGGCGAGTCAAAACTCCGAAAATGAGACACACTAGGGGTCCTCTACACAGCACCACAACACTGACTTTGCAAAGATGCGAATTTGACCACCAAGCTTGGCCATTTATGCTAAAAGGTGGCTTCTTGAAGCCTTATATGCCATGACAATGGCTTCACCCAACCAAACTCAAGTGTGAAACCCCAAAGTCAGCAACTCCACCTCACCACAGAGGCTATAATCTCAGAAATGAGACACTCCACACCCTCACAAGACCAACTCCCACAAGCTATAGTGTTTTGGTGAACAGAAGAGGAAGAAAAATGGTTTCTTTGGTGAGTTTTTCAAGAGAGGGAGCAATGGAACAATGGAGGCTTAAGGCTGATGGAGAAGACTCAGAAAACTCATGTAGCAAATGGCACAAAATCATCCTAGGATTTAGTTCCAAGCCTTATATAGCCCACTTAAGTATTAATCGCACTGTATTAGCGCTAATAGCCACGCTTAGCATTTTAATCCCAAACTTGAGATTCTGAACCTAGCCATTTTTCTAGGATTTGTCATATTTTTATTTTATTTTTCGCAGTACTTTTTGGTACGCGCTTTTAAGAAGCCGGTATCAGTTCTGACACCAGCTCTCATTATTTTGACCTGAAACTTGTTATGCTAGTCCTATATATTATTCTAAGAATATTCCCACACTTATTATAATTTTCTGTGATACTTAACCGGTACGCATTTATACCGTGGAGCAGAACCGGTATCTGCACTTTTCGTCAGAAAAGCGACTTTGAGCATTATTAATTACTTACCATAATTATTTAAGCCTTCTTATAATTATTAGGGTCAATTATGAAATTATCTCATAAATCTCATAATTAATTAATTAAATTCCTAATTTAGCGGTGCGGGTCCTTACAATTCCCAGTATGACTTGCCTAGTTAGTGCTTGCTAGCTAAGTGTCCTAGATGCATTGATGTTGTCCAAGAAGCATTGCATTCAGTAATTCAAAAAAAAAAAAAAAGCATTGCATTCAATCTTGCATAAGAAGAGATTTTTTGCAGCACACACATACTTAGGTGGGCTCCATTAGAAAAAGTAAATAAAAAAATTAAAAATATTGGCACATAAAACAGAGTGAATATAGGGTGAGCAGACTCTTCTTATGTTACACAAACAAGCATAGAAGACAAGTGACTTAAAACTTTAGCTTTTAGCTCTAACCTATGTTACAAAGAGAACATAACTCCACAATCTAACGTGTTAAAAGAATGAAATCTTATCACTATTTATCAAATTAATTACATCATTCGTTTCAAATCTTCTTTGATTGCATGACTCTGCCTCCTTACAGGTACTTATCACAGGAAATACAAGTGTGAAGGTAGTGATACTAAACAGACCTCGGAAGCTAAATAGCCTTTCCCATGAAATGGTAAGTTCAAAAACCAATTCTCAAATATCTTAAACAATTTACTCTATTTAGAGTCTTTTGTTATTTTTTATATTTACAAGGTCGTAGGAAGATTAATGGAGCTCTCACTGTTGAGAATGATAATTGCTTCTTTTACTGCTTTGCAGATTTGTCAAATCAAAAAGAATTTAGAGTTATATGAGAATGACTCATCAGTCAAACTTGTGATATTGAAGGTAAATCACAAATTGAAGATTTCTAATAATCTTGTTGTATTGATCAGGGTAATGGGCCATATCAAATTAAATCTAAAGCTAAATATTTTTATTTATTTTTGAGCTTCTTATTTAAGTAAATGTTAAAATTATTCAATATTGTATGAATGTATGATTAATTTTCATCTCATTGAATAATATTGAATAGTGATAATTGTACTTTCTTTTCCTATGCTATTTAGGGTAATGGAAAAGCTTTCTGTGCTGGTGGTGATATAGTATCAGTAATTACCTCTGCACTTGTAGGTAAATTATCCAAAACTTGCAACAGGATTATCAAATAAAAGATAAATGGTTATGTTATTGGGTTGTTACAAGTGGTTTTGAGACTACATTATTACATAAAGAAACTAAATCCCTTCACAATCTTTAACTACATGTCCCGAATGAAAACAGGACACTGGACCTATCCTGTTAGCTATTACAAGAAACATCTTACTTTGGACTATTTGATAGCAACCTACAAAAAGCCTATAGTGAGTTTTTTAAGTCTCAAATTTTATTCTAAATCTTTATAACACATTTGAGGAGTTTTGTTTCAACGGTTGTGGAATCAGGTCTCTCTCATCAATGGAGTAGTCATGGGAGGAGGAGCAGGACTTTCCATGAACACAACATTTAGGATTGTGACTGAAAAAGCTGTATGTTTCTCTTATTTTCCGGGAATCAGAATCAGAACTCAGAATGAAAGTTTACATTATTCCAAGAATGACTACTGTATTTAAAATTTTAAATGACAAAATATTGCCTACAATATAACCACTCTAATATACAAATCCTTCATAAGGCCTTGGGAATATATGTCACTTATATCATAAAAATAAACCAAAGTTTATTTGACTATATAATTCTTACCAAAATTTTACTGATAGTGAGGAACATTATGTGGGTTTTGTTGTATGTTATCGGTTATTTGTAGGTATTTGCTATGCCAGAGGCATCTATAGGACTTTTTCCGGATGTGGGGGCAAGTTACTTTCTTTCTAGGCTTCCTGGCTATTTTGGTAATTAGATTATGGGCAATATTACTCTTATGCAATAGGAAAAAATTTTTATCTTATGTCCATACATCGATACTTGTGCCATTTATTTTTTATTTTTTTTCTATTGGGTCCCACTTTAATTTGAGTGTGTAGGAGATAACAAAATTTTTATGTGACATAAGACTACAATTACCCTTAGATTATATGCTTTTTTTGTTTGTCCCAATATATACAGGGAAATATAGTTATGTTGTTGCTGCAAAAAAAAAAAATCTACAGCAACATATAAAAAAGTCAGAAAATGATGATGAATCTTGATTTTTTTTAATAAGTGGGTCCCACTATTTATTTTTCTGCTGAAAGAAATCCATCTGTAATGACTGTAGAAAAAATGCACACACATATACATATGCGTGTGTTTTGTAGTTTTTATGAAGATGTCTTCAATATAATCCTTAGAAGGTAAAAGTATAGCTCTAAATAAATCGCTATGCTTAAAGGTATTATATCTATTTGAAGTTTTTCAGCTGATTTGTACCTTTATTTAAAAGTTATTTATTTATTTATTTTACTTTTAAAATCATTTAGCAATTTATACTATTTTAACCATTTTTATCTTATGGTTCCCACAAATATGATATGTGTCACTCATATAATGATTACATGTATTATATTTGAGGAATTAATTTGAAAGAAGGTTTTCTAATTTGAAATGTATTCGCCATACATGCTTAAACTGGTTTTTGAAAACAGTTGTTTTAACTAAAGGTGTTTTAAGTATATTTGAGATAGAAATAACATTATGTTTGGTTATGCAGAGTGTACGTTTAAGCTCTCTTTAAGTTATTTTTTTAATTATAAATATCGTCCATTGATTAATTTACAATTTTGTCTCTTTTGTATATAATCATATGTAGGGGAATACTTGGGGCTTACCGGAGCACGTTTGGAAGGAGCAGAAATTGCAGCATCTGGTTTAGCAACTCATTTTGTCCCATCCATGGTGAAACTTTACCCACCACTTTTCTCTTGATTAATATGCTTTCATAAGAAGTTTATTTGAAAACTTCTCACTAAAGTCTGTTTCTCTAAAATTGTGTATGGTCCTAGAGCTCAGCAAATTAGTGATTGCTTCGGCTTCAAGCTAACAGGTGACCTTGGAAAGTATCTTGGAGTTCCCCTTAACCATAAAAGGGTCAACAGAGATTCCTTTTCTCATGTCCTTGATAGGGTCAACATAAGACTGAGTGCTTGGAATCAATCCTCCCTATCTCATGTAAAGAACCTTGAGGTCACCACCCCAAAAGCTAGCTCAAGGGGTGGGAGTGCCCAAGGCCTTATAAAGGCCATATTAGTTGCCCATCCAATCAATGTGGGACTATATATCTCAACACGCCCCCTCACGCAAGAGCCCTTTAGGCTAAAAGCATGGAATTGCACAGGCCCATTTTTGGTTTACCTTTTTGTGCTTTTTTTTTTATTTTAATTCCACTTTTTAAAGCGGGGGACGGTGAAGCTCTGATACCATGTAAGGTATCAGACCTTAATGACATAAACGAAATCTCACTCTTGGAGTGAAAACAAGAAATGAAAAGAAAGGTAAACTGAATAATTCTGAATGTATTGAATCCTGAAGAAGAGGATTACAAGCTGCTATATATAGCAGATGAGAAAGACTGGAAAGGATAAAAGAAGAAGCTAACTAACAAATAACTGTCATAACTAACTTAATATAGCTTATCCTTTATCACTCACTAACTCAGTTCTTGCTGCCCTCTCGTCTTACTCGATGCAATCTGCCCTGCTCCCTCTTTCTGTTTGTGATGATATTGAAAAGGCAATGTGTCAGTTTGTTTGGGGCTCGACTCCCTCGAGGTGCAAGGTTCATCTTGTCAACTGGGATGTAGTCTGTTCCCCCATTGAAAAAGGTGGTCTTGGCTTTAAGAAGCTTCGTGCTTTTAATAATGCCATGCATACGAAGATCGGACACGACATCTTGACAAAGAAGGATTCTCTTTGGGTCCAAGTTCTTATAGGGAAATACAGAGTGGGTACTGACCTAATCCCCTTGGTTAGCAGTTCTACAGTTCGGTCCAATCTTTGGAAGGGTGTCCAACATTCGTGGAATCATATTGCTGATGGCTCGAGGATCTTAGTTGGCAATGGTGCCACAGCCAAGTTCTGGACTGATAACTGGCTTAAGAATGTTAGGCCACTGAAGTCTTTAGCTACCATGGAGATTTTCGAGGAGCTCCTCAACTCCATCGTGTCTCACTTTGTTATCCCTGAAGGGTAGTGGATGTGGAGGATCCTGTCAAGTCTTCTACCGAGAGTTACTTGCGATCGCATTGTTACTTTAATTCCCCCTCTTTCCCTAGATGGTGTTGATCGTGTTATCTGGGAGCCCTCTATGGATGGCTTATTCTCAGTTAAATCAGCCTATAACTTTCTGTGTAACTTTGGATCTCGACAAGATTCCCCTTCGGCTGGCATTCTACAAATGTGGAAAGGCCCTCATAGAGTTGCTACCTTCCTCTGGCTTCTTTTGGATGATAAACTTCTCTCAAATTATCAAAGAGTCAGAAAGCACATGTCCTATGAAGCCCACTGCCCGAGATGCCATTTTCCTGTGGAGGATTGTCTCCATATTTTTAGGAACTGTCTTTTTACCAAACAAGTGTGGCCTACCTTGCTTGCTCAACTTAATAAGGATGATTTCTTCTCCGGTAATTTTAATGCCTGGCTCTTTTCCAACTTGACGAACCACTCCAATCTTGGTGATCAGACCGATTGGAGCTCCCTCTTTGGCATTCTCTGCTGGTCCTTATGGCAAAAAAGGAACAACTGGGTTTTTAATGGCAAAAGCAACTCCTCGTTTGCCCTGGTACGAAGAGCTTTTGTGGTCTCTAGCGGGTTTGAGTATCCTGATTGTGACACCCTGTGTGCACCCAGTGTATTAAACATATAAATGGTAATAAGCGCAACTTAATAAATACGAAAGCCAAAAATTTCCAATTATGAACCTTATCATATTAACTCGGTGAATCTTTTTCAAAAACCGCCTGTATGTAAATTGTAATAAATAACTAAACTGAATAACTTCATAATATAAATAGTGTATCAAGTCATGGAACTACAACACGTAGACCAGAAGACATGTCCTGATACAATAATACAACTTCAGTCTAAAATAAACACAACTTATTCAGATGTGGCATGGACAACCCTCATGCTCACCAAATAAAGCAACATAGTCAAATCATGTCTGAAGTACAATAGCCATAAAGATATAACAGCAAGGCAGAAATCGTAATAAAATGGCAAGGTGCATGCATTATTTCAACTCAACTCTGGCTTCTTGTCACTAGAGTCTCAACCTCAAAAATACTTGTACCTGAAAATGTGCCCCACACGGGGTGAGATCTCTAACAAGAAATCTCAGTAAGACGAGGGGTCTTGAAGGATCTCTAACTTACATGTGCAATATAAGTTCTAAAATGATAACAATATTATAATGGAAGAATTTGTGCAATGCAGCATATGTCCATGTCATGTGTGTATGCATCCTACTGGCCAGAAAATAAAAGGTAGGGATTATATATGTCTACAACTCACAGTACAAGGAGTCCACCATGTACCTAACACACGGAGTTACCTTCTTGCATGTGGCCCGACATGCTAAGGGATTACTGTCTTGTGTGGAATACCCCATATACATATACATATGGCAATGCACTATAATAATAATCCAGCACAACAACATATCCAATACTTATAACATAAATAGACATTTTCTAGAAAACACATCATGCATATAAACTATCCCTCCATGAGGTATGGTGGAACCATCAATGGGTAAAACCGATGAAAGAAAAGCTTACATGAAATGCCAAAATTCTTATCTAAAGGCTCGGTGTACACCGATACACCCATACTCACACAATCCAACAATTGCAATTTATTTTATATCAAGAATATTATTAACAATCAGAATCCCGTATTTCATAGCAATTGAACATTGTTTTCATTTTTCATTTGGTGATTGCAGGCTTCTTCCAAAGCCCCCAAGCACAAACCATCTTTACTATTTTTAAAATTGAAATTGCAACTCTTAACCAAAATTTCTAAAATTTTACTATGTTAAACTAGACATCAAAATCTTTCCAACGACATATTGTATTTCTCAATCGGAGTTGTATAACTCTAGTTATGTTTCTCGCAAGGTAACGAAATCTCCTGCAGAAAATTAAAACTCAAGACGAAATCAATACACTTGTCCAATGAATCTTAAATTTTGTAGGATTGTAGCCCTATGTGTTAGCTTCAAATAGGTCCAAACCTCACTCTATTTGGAGCTCCGTAGCTCAATATATCGCGATTTAACTAAACTAGTTCGTTATGGTCATTCATTACTCAAAACAAGTCATTTTCATTAATTTACAAAGTAAATGGTATGAGTTTACTTTAGGGCTTCTAAAATCAGAGAAAGAGGAATCCTTGGATGACTTTTGACCACACCCAAACTACACAAAAGAAGGTGCACGAAAATCAACTCACAAAGCTAGATTCTTTCTCCATAAAGATGACACATTGGTACACCATTGTGTGTGTAAATGGCTCAAACACAAACTCACAACTATAATAACAACCTCAAGGCTCAAAGAGTGTATCTTTCTCTCATAAAATATAAGCTTTCAATGATTCAAGGTTGTACCATGGAAGATGGATGAAGAAAGCAAGGTTCTTGGTTAAGTTTCATAAAAAAGGGATGGATTTCCACGGAGTTCTTGAGTGGGCATCCATGAAGAGTTTTGGAAGAGTGGCAATCTGAGTATTAGGAAGTCTAGGGTTTTGTTTCTTTTTCCCTATTTATATGTGTGCCTACTTAAACTAATATTACTAGTTCTAATAGTTCTACTAATTATTTTTCTTCCAAACTTTATATTCTTAACCTAGATATTTTTCTAGGAATTATCATAGTTTTAGATTAATTTTTTCGAGATACTTCACCGGTACGCGTTTTATACATAGCCGGTATTAGTTCTGACACCACTGCTCATTATTTTTACCCCAAACTTGATATGCTTGACCTATATATTTTAATAGGAATATTTATATTTTATTATAATTTTTTGGAATACTTCACCGGTACGCATTTATACCGTGAAGCAGAATCAATATCTTCAATTTTCATCAGAAAAGCGACTTAAGCATTATTTGATCTCCTAGATACTTATTTTTCTATAATTATGCATAATCTTTATTAAATCTATGCTTCGACATCGATAATGTAATTTAATTAATTATTTAGTGATGCAGGTTCTTACAGTCACCTCACCTTTTAAGAATTTTTTCCGCAAAATTAGAGACGTTCCTGTCCTTAAACTCGGGTTATTGTCGAAGAAGCTCGTTCTCCCGCTCGCAAGTACACTCCTCTGGAGTTCTACCTTAAGTTATCTCTAATCAATTATGTTCAATAGTGTTTTGAATTCACTCACACCGTGAAAAGTATCTTTCAGGATGTGCTCTGCCACAGAGAACATGCTCTCAACATTTCCTCCATTATTGGAAGAATCCACACAGTTTGACCATCTATCAGAGGATGATATGCAGTATTTATTTTTAATTGAGTGATAAAAGCTCTTTGCAATACCACTCTAACACAAGAGTACCGATCACTGACAATGCTCTCATGTACCCTAAGAATTTCTTACTACCACACTAATTTAGCGTATTGTCGAAGCAGATCTAAACCTTCGACAATCTGAGAATGAAATCTCAAGTCAACACACATGTAAAGATTACCTCCTTGAGGTATATTCCTCATAATTTTCGAAACAATACGCTCCTTAAATCATGCAAGTTCAATTACTCGCTTACACACGTTTCAAAACTAGTATATTTAAGTCATAGCAACATCGATGAACAGTTCCTCAACTCAACTTTTCATGATCTTGTGTCCATACCGATCCAACATCCCCACACGGAACATTGCAACATTTC